TATAATATATATATATATATATATATATATATATATATATATATATATATATATATATATATATATATATATAAATATATATATATACATATATATATATATATATATATATATATATATATATATATATATATATATATATATATATATATATATATATATATGTATATATATATATATATATATATATATATGCATACATATATATGCATACATATATATGCATATATATATATATATATATATATATATATATATATATATATATATATATATATATATATATATATATATATATATATATATATATATATATATATATATATATATGTATATATATGCATATATATAAACACACGTATGTATAGATTTGTAGGTCATCACGTTTTTGTCAGTTATATAACTGTTTAACAAACCAAAACATTGTGTATTATAATATCATAGTATTATTGTTATATTTTTGTATAATATGATCAATTTATTATGTTATAGTTGTAATATAGCGTATAATAGGGTCCGAATATATTTAAATTACACACATCATGATGATATATTATAAATAAATATTGATATAACATCTTTATGACAACCATTAAGATGTTATATTATTAATTAAGTTAAACCTAATGTATTTAATTTAATTATATTAAAATATTATTATATTATTAATATAACATAACATCTTATGCAAAATAATAGTAACATTGTTATTTAAATTAATATATTATAGTATATTGTATATTATTTGGATTATATTTTAAAAGATGCTGTATTGTTATAATGCAGTTATGATTTTGGTAATATATACAATCATTGAATTATTATATTCATAAAAAAACAACTATATCTTTATAAATATTAATAAAACACTATATATTTACAAAAAAGCAAGTATATCTTTATAAATATTCTATTTCAGTTTTTTGTTATATGGTACGTGTCTCATTAAGTTTAACTACCATAATTCATTTAGTTGTTTTAATAGCTTTATTTTGTTTTAGTTTAAATAGAAATTTGATTAATTTGGTCAAGATCAAATCTAGCGTTAAGCTCAATATACTGCTTTAAACAATTACTCTGATGTAGAATGTGTTAAAAAATCTCATTTTTATAAAAATATATAGAAGTTTATAAAGCCAACACATTAACAATGATTTGTCACCAAGGATATTGAGGAGCAACCTAATTTCTTCAGAAGCAAAAATGTAACTGAGAGTTTTTAAGTTAACTAGGAGTTTTCAAATAGTAATTGGTAAAAACTACTAGTCAATTCAAAAAAAGAATAATTTTTATTTTTTTCTATCTTTGAATTGAAAAAGACATTAGAATATAATCCTAATGCAGATTTCCTTTTTGCTTATTAACAGTCATGATTGCACCATTTAATCAGCCAACTACACCAGAAAAAATCTGTTTCAATAAAGTTCACCTACAGATAGATAGTGATGTGGGGCAATCCTTTGATCATCTCAAAAACCATTGGATGTCACAAGAGACGCGAAGCACTTCAGTGCTCCTAAACATATGCTTACCCAAACAATATATTGCAAAATATATTTTAAGTGTAAGTTGCTGGAAAACTTTTACAATTCCTTAGGATTAGAAATTCCAGATGACATAAACTTTGAGGACAACAACGAAGATGATGTACACTATGTTTAGGTTGAATTAACACAAGTCAACCAATTTGACTTGGCATTGTACAAAGAACACTAGTTAAAACTTTGTAATTAAATTGAAGGGGATATGGGGATATATATTATTTACGTGATATTTATGAATGAAAAAAATGAAAGTTTTTTTTTATTTATTAATTGCATATTAAACAATTTAAAAATTTATCTGCCCTTAATAACCTCTTTGTAGAATAATCAATTCTGAACCCTTTCTACCTCTTTTCAACTTAAAACTATTTTCCTAATATTTATATATTTTTTTTAAATAAATATTCAATAAAAAGTATTTAGTTTTTACAGCAAAGTTTATAAAAAATATTATTGTCATTTTATTAGGGTGTGAAAAATGTTAATTAGTAATAACCGCTAATTTAAAATAGTTAAAAATTATATGAATTCAATATTAGAAAAGTTTGTTTTATAAAATTACGAAAACTTGGTTTATTAAAACAAAAATTAACTTGGTTGATTTTTGCGTAAGTTTTTGCGTAAGTTTGGCGCAACTCGTGCGCAACCCTAATTTTACGGAAATGCTGCGAAACATTGGTGAATACCAAAACTACGCTGAACTTACGATTTCCGTAACCTTAGTTGAGCTACGCAAGAGTTGCAAAAGTTTGGTGAATCCGCACCCAGGTTCACACAGGTTCATTTTACTATAAAAGAGACATGTAAACCGACATGTAATTCAGTCAGTATATGGAAATCAATCAGTCAGTATTATCAAGACAGTTTATCGAAGTGAGTTTTATCAAAGTGCTTTATCGAAGAACATCTATACAAGGAGTGAAATAGAACAAGTGTTTCATTACATCAATACACTCCACATCCAACCAAGACGTTGTGTTCCAAAGAGCATTATTGTATCATCACAAGGTAAGCCTTGAGAAGCGTGATAACTTATTTTTATTATTTTCATGACTTCAAGTGCAAAAATGGCTCCCGACAGTCTTGAATTGAAACTAAGAAAAAAAATTATTGGCAATAAGTGGAATATCACAAAAAAGTATTTGTAATAAATATTGCGTGAAAAAATGGACCGTATCAAGACTGTGTTCTACAGGGAAGTTGGCAGCAGATAACAATGGTGAAAGACCGCGTTCCATCACTTCTAGAGAGTATTCTACGATTGTCAGATCTGTCAAGATGGATCCCTAGATATCATCAGTCGAGATACAAAAGCAATTAGAGCTGCCTGTATTGAACCGAACAATCAGACGTGCTGTTGAAGCCGGATTGTTTTCTCGACGGCCTGCAAAGAAACAGCTGATTTCACTAAACAACCAGAAGAAAAGACTCCTGTTTGCAACATCTCATATTGACTGGAATGTGCAGTAATGGCGAACAGCCCTGTTCAGTGATGAATCAAAGTTCAACATTATTGGGAGCGATGGCATTTGCCATGTGTTCGTCGACCGGCCGGAAAACGCCTCGATTTACGTTACTGAAGCATGGTGGAGGCAATGTTATGGTCTGGGGGTGTTTTTTTGCTAATAGTTTAGATTCATCGAATACATCAAAATACATCAAATCGATGGAATAATGAACCGTTTCATGTATAAAATTATCCTGAAAGATGTTATGTTACCTGATGCTGAATGGAATATACCAATAAAATGGGTTTTTCAGCAAGACAACGATCCGAAACACACTGCAAAAGTAGTCAAGCAGTGGTTTCAAGACAAGCACCTATCGGTGATGGATTGTCCGCCTCAATTCCCACATCTCAACCCTATCGAGAACCTATTGGAGTTCGTCAACCGCAGAATTAATTGTGAAGGTGTTTGTAATAAAGATCAGCTGTTTGAACAAATCCAAAAGGCCTGGGCAGCGATTCCACAAAGTTTCATTGATCACCTGATCGACTTTATGCCTCAAAGATGCAAGGCTGTGATTAACAACAAAGGATTCACCACGAAATAAATATAAGGAAATACAGCTTGGCCAACATTTGTGGAGTTGCACTTGTTTTTTCTAGAAGGAAATCAACTTTTTTTAATATTTTTTATTAATTTATTAATTTTTGTGTACAAATAATGAACTTTGTGATGAATAAAACTTGAAGAACGTTGTCTCTACACAGTTCCATAATTATTTCTCTAAATTGAAAAAATGAAGCACTTTATATAAAGAAACTAAATTAGCATTATTTGGTTGCACTTGTTTTGACTGATACTGTAAGTAAATGTAGTGTTACGCACATTAGAAGAAATAATATAAATAATAACTACACTATGAAGCACGACAATTTTTCTTCTAAAAACAACAACAAAAGAACCAGACTTAGATGTAATAGTTTCATCCAATATGAAATAGAATTATCAGGTTCAAGTAGCAACAAGCACAAAGAATCTTATGCTTAATAAGATAAAGCTTTACTTATCGTAACAATGAAAATGGTATGGCAATTACACACATCGCTGGTTAGACCACACCTGGAATTCGCAGCTCCAGTGTGGATTCAAGTAATAAAAACAATATCAATAACCTAGAAAAAATTCAAAGACGAGCAACAAAACTAGCACCTGAACTAAAACATCTAAGTTATAGTGAAAAGTTGACAAAGTTGGGTTTCACAACGAAACTGGAAACGAAGGCGTAAAACAGGTGATCTCATTGCATTTTTCAAATTAGCAACTGGGATTGATAAAATATTGCGGTATAAAGAGCTTAATTAAGCTTCTTCCCAAAGTCCAAGAGGTCATCCAATGAAATTTGAAAGAGAGTTTGCAAAAACAACCCTGAGACATAGTTTTTTTACGAACAGAATAATACCTCATTGGCATGCTTTACCTGAAAAAGTGGTTTCTGCAATGACAGTAAATTCTTTCAAAGCCATACTAGATAAACATTTGTTAACGGCTGTTGAAGTATAAATTTTAAACTTTATGCTCTGCAACAATAGTCGTTACAGCAGTTTGTATTACTATTATTATTACCATTAGAGTATCAGCGGAGTGATGCAGTAGTTAGTATGATTGTCTCAGAATCAAAAGGTGCAAAATACAATAGATATATAAGCAACATTAATAAGGATAGCGTGAAATTTTTAGTTAAATGCTCTTCCGTGATGTTCTGTGACTATAATATTTTCTTGGAACACTTTGGTAACCAAAAATTTAATACTACAAAAAAACATCTATCGGGTAATACAATATATACCACCCAATATTTCATAAAAATAAAATTTTTTTAAAGTGTAAACCTGCAAAAAATTTTTCTATATACATTTTAAAACGTTTAGATTTAAAATGCCAAAAATGTTTTGCTACAAAAATTAAATCTAAAAAGCAAGTTAGTGAACTTAAAAAAGAATTGAGTAACCTTTTGTTGCTCCTGAAACAATTAAACTTGATGTTGTTGCATCAATATTTAGTGCTTCTGCTGTTTTTGTTGCAGCAATAATTGCAAATGAGTTATCAGCTAATGTAACAGTTGCAGTGCTTGTTTGATCGGCCCAATTACTAACTGTTAAAGTTTCCCACGATGCTGATAAAGTTGTTGTTATAGCTTCAGTAGTGCTTACTAAAACAAGAGCATACATCACTCCTAAGAAGTACAAAGTTATATGCTATACAAGCAGTAATATCAAAATAAAATTTAAGAATAAACTGCAAGTTTTTGAGTTTACTTCAACTTACTCTCAAAAAAAATTGTTAAATTCTACGTAGATTTTTATTTCTGCAATATTACCTACGTAATGTAGAAGAGTGTGGTAGTTAGGTGACGAGTAGTATGAAATTTTGGTATTAACCTTGTTTGGTATTAACCTTGTGTTAAAATCTATTAATAAATAAAATTTGTCATTATCTTTTGAAATTTAAAAACGTTTTTGAAATATTCTTTTAAACTTAATGTGATTTTTATTGAACTATTTGATTGGTTATCTTACGTCCAACATTCTCAGAAAAAGAGTTTAGCGTTTATTTAAGCATATCCAGGTTTACATTATTTTCTATCAGAAATGGACCAAACTTCAAACTTATATGTGTTTACGAAATTTTTAATTAAAAAGTTAAACGGTTTTAAGCTGACAAAAAAAACAAAACAAAACATAAAATAGTGAATTTTGAACTCAAAAAATGAGGGCAAAAAGTTATTTAAGATAAAATAAAAATATGTCATTTAGAATTAAGGTTAAAATAAAATAAAAATATATATTATTTAGATTTAAGGCAACAAAATTGTTTAGTTGAACAAAATAACTAGTCAGTACTACTAAGCGATAATTCAGGATTATTTAATAAACTTTGTTTGTGTTAATGAAAGAAGTTTGTGAGTTTTAGTTAATTTCTAGTGCTAATTGACAAATTTATAATCCCCAAAAGTAGTCTATATAAGATATATTGTTTGAAAAAGAAGTCAGCCGAAAATATAGGTCTAATAACTAGGTTGTTTAGCTAATGCAGCTCATAGGTATCTAGAAAATATTAGAACTATTATTTTATCAAAATTCTAAAGACACCCTTCCTATATAGAGCTAAATTGAGTTCTTGCCAATCTTTTTTAGTTACTTGAACTATTATAAAATATTTTGACTGCAATGTCTAATACTTAAAAATACAAATCATATTTGTATAAATTATTGTAATCTGTACTTTTTTGGTAAGTGCTTTTGTAAATTCCAGTACTACCTTTGTAAATTCTATGTTGTTGCTTATCTTCTCTTTTTTATATATATTTAGCTTATTTTCTTTCGAAATTCTTGAATTATTTAGTTTACATTGCTGTTTTTTTTTTAATTTATTCCTTTTGTTACTTGGTTTGCTTTACCTCTGCATTAAATACTTCCCTTGATGTCAAAGCAAATATATTTTTAGTAAATCTTGCATTTATATTCTAGTTATAAACTGAGACAGACTAATCAAAAAGTCTATTATTTGCATCCTTTGGAAAGTATGTAAAGGTAAAGAAAACCATTAATAAAGCATATACAATCTACATTAACAGTTACGAATTGCCTCTATTTTAGAAAATGATGCTACTTAGGTATCATTATAATCAATGCACTCGTTTTTATTGCCATATTACCTAAACATGCGGCATTTAACATTATTGATACCAATTAATTTGAAACAAGTTTTTAAATCTAATTTTAATTCAATGTTCTTATCTTGATGAAAAAATTTTGATTCTTACATTTTGTTAACTGAAACTAATTCTGTAATGATTTCTTAATCTTATTAAACAAGTACTTGTCTTTACAAAAGCTTAGGTTTTAATTTTAATAACTATTAAATTTTTACTCATAGAATTATTGAAACAAATTTCTGATGCTTTTTGATCTTTTAAAGCATAATCTTTTTTTTATGATGTTTTTCAAAACCAAAGTTAAGTTGGCTCGATCATAAGGATTTGTCGTTTTTAACCAAACCAAATGCGTCTTTTTTAATTCATTAAAATCTTAAAACATGTTTTTTTTTTTTCTTCTACAAGGCTGTCAAACTCGCGACCCACAACGTATAGTTTTGTGGTTCACTTTGTATAATTTGTTATTTAATTTTTTTTTGAAAACTTATTGAATTTTTTATACTGTTATTTCGTTCTGAGTGATTGCTTTTTTGAATTATTAATTTTAAAATTGTTATTTCATACTTTTTTTGTTTATTTTCTAATTTTCACTTTTATTTTAAAAAAAGTTCTTAGAGAATGTGATTTCTTTAAGGAAATTTTATTATTATTATTTTCAGATTATTAGAACATTTTTTTCTAATAATCTGAAAATAATAATAAAATTTAAAATACTTTTTTTTAACAGTTTGTGTAATTTGTTTCGATAGTAGGAGAGAGTGACCTAAAACGGGCTCCTTTTCAAAAAATAATAGAACCAACTAGCTGTTAAATTACAAACAAAATTTATGAGTTTAAATGCAAAATGTATTTTAATAAAAGTATTTCGACTTTACAGTAACTAATTATACAACTATAGGAAAAAGCAATTTTATACAAACATTCTCCACCTATTGTATGTACTACTTTATAATATTTTCTGAAATAATGAAAAAGAAAAAAAAAATTTAATTAAAAAAAGTACTGAAATTAATTAAGTTCATTGAAAAAAATACACTCACCTTCTGAAAATACGTGTAAAAAAACTATGCTGATAACAAAAATCAAATATTCCATTTTATCTATTTAAAAAAAATGGTTTTAGTTATTATTTGATATATTCACTTATAAACTTAGTTATTATTTGATATATTTGCTTATAAACTTATGAAAACATGTAATGAAAGGACTTATTTAGAAAATAATAGTAAATAATAGTAAAACATGTAACGAAAGGACTTATTTAGAATATAATAATAAATATTTTTGTATGCTTTTTATGTATAAATTGGATGCAAAAATTTATATTAGGAATTAGAAATATTTTGGTACAATATTGAGATTTCTAAGATGAAAAAAAATAATTCAAAAGACTAGAGGTTATTATAAATATTGGAGAAATTTATTTGGATAAATTCAAAAATTTAATCTATCACTTAATTGTGTAGAGCAAAATTTTTTAAAACATAATTTGTTGTTTTAATTTTTAAAGACAGAATAATTTAAATATTAACATTTATTAAATAAAATAGCTTGTTTACTCTACTAGTCTCTTAAAAGCATATTCATGCAAAAAGACTAAATCCTTAAAAATTAAATACTGAAGCTAGCAAATAAGTACATAGATCAAATCCTTTGCACGCCATAAATTGACAACTTATAGCGTGCAATTGATTTGATCTTTTAAAATTTTTTCCTTTTTTTTTATATATATAATCATATAATATAAAAATTAAAATATTTTAATATTAGAGTTGTGACGTAATAGTATCAGAGTAATGACGTAAATAATCTAGATCTAGGAACATACAAAGAACATAAAAAATGGTGATTATTTTCTTGATAAATTTTTACTTTATCAAGATTGTATTATAATACAAAAGTATTTATAATACTTTTGTATTATAAATATTATTATTAACATTTTTTTTATTTAAAAAAATGTTAACCCACTATTCAAACATTGTTGTAATTGAACTTTTCTTCAATATAGTAGACAATCCAAAAAAAAAAAAAAAAAAAATGAAATTATTTTATATATATATTTTGTTATGTTATATCATTTAAGTGATTTAGTTATCATAGTCTATAATCAAATAATGTTTAAAAAATCAATAAAGTCCCTTTGTACAAGTTTAAAATTATATCGTAATGATAAAAAACTCCTTGAAAAAATAACAATTTTACCGTTAAAGTTAATCAAAACAAAAATAAATCAATTAAGAAAGAAACAAAAACTTTTCATATCATTAAATTTAATTTTTTTTGCTTTGTTTTTGTTTCAAACTTAAATGAATTGAAAGACTTCATGTTGTTGAAGTACCTTTACATAAAAATTAAATGCTCATAAATATATATTTCAAAAATATCTCATCTTTTCATACCTTTTAGAAGAGATTTTGTTTGTTTTTATTTATGTTGATACTTGATTCAGCATGCGTGTTTTTGTGGCCTATAAATATTTTGAAATTTTTTTGTTTGCGTAATTGGCCATAATATATATTAAATAATGAAAGAGTAAATTAGCCCTAAATATATTAACTTTACCAATAGACGTATTGTTAAATTAAATATATAACGGCAATAGTTTTAGTAATTTTTTATTTTACAACATTTAAGTGGGGGTAGCCAGGATAAGTTTTAATCAACAAGAATTTCTCAGAAGGCTACTGGAATTGACGATGTCAATTGCAATATAGTAATTAACTGTTACAATGAGCTTAAAAATCCTTTATTCAAAATTTTTAAACACTCTTTAAAGGAAGGTATATTTCCTGAAAAACTAAAAACTGCTAAAGTAAAACCTATATTTAAATCATGAGATGCAAGTGAAATAGGTAATTTTAGACCAATATCAATACTTTCAACATTCTCTAAGATACTTGAGAGAATTATGCACAATAGGTTATATACTTTTTTTTAAAGAAAACAATCTTATTTATTCCAAGCAGTTCGGGTTCCAAAAAAATACATCAACTGAACACGCAATCCTTCACTTGGTTGAAGAAATAAAAAACTCCTTTACAAACGAAAAAGTTACTTTGGGGGGTTTTGTAGATCTCTCGAAGGCTTTTGATACAGTCGACCACAAAATATTATTATCAAAGCTTAATATGTACGGTATGAAGGGTAGATCCAACAAGTGGATAGAAAGCTATTTAGATAAACGTGTGCAATATGTATATTACGGAGACAATAAACTCTCTAATCCGTCTATAATAGAGTGTGGTGTACCTCAAGGTTCAATACTTGGGCCCTTGTTTTTCTTAATCTATGTAAACGATCTCTGTATGGCTTAAAAAGAATTTCAACTATAATGTTTGCTGACGATAGCAACTTTCTTATCTCTGGAAAATATAATAGCGAGCTGTGCGTAGAAATGAACAATGAATTAGAAAAGATTTCAGAGTGGTTTAGGGCAAACAAACTCTCTATTAACTCAAGTAAAACAAAGTTTTCTTTATTTCATCCTTCTTTTAAAAAAAAAGAAGTTCAATCTTTTTTTCCGAAATTGTTTATTGAAAATAGAGAAATAGGTAGGGATACTGTTACGAAATTTTTGGGTTTTTATTGACGAAAATCTAAATTGGACTAAACATATCGCTTATATAGGTAGTAAAATATCCAAAAGCATAGGAATAATATACCAGTCACGTTATTTATTAAAAAAACCACTACTTAAACAAATCTACTATAGTTTTGTTCAAAGATACCTAAACTGCGGAAATATAGCTTGGGTTAGTACCTATAAAACGAAACTAGAACCACTTTATCGTAAACAGAAGCATGCTATACGTGTGATTAATTTTAAAAATAAAACAGAACACTCAAAATTTCTTTTTGAACAAATGTATTTATTCACATTGTTTGAACTAAATGTATATAATGTTCTAAGTCTTATGTATAATAGCAAAATGCAAAAAAGTCCTTCAATTTTCTATAGTCTTTATAAACAAAAACCAGAGTACAAATATTTATTGCGTACAAATAGTACCCTGTTAGAGCCTTCATACAAAAATAAGCTTGAACAATTCAAAATGACTTATCGTGCACATCATATCTGGAATAAGTTTTTACTAATTAATTTAAATAATATTGATTTAAAAAACTTAAATTGCTTTAAAAAAACTATTAAAAAGAGTATTTTAAAGTATAAAAATTTAGTTAGTGATTTTTTTTAAGTTTATTTATAAATATTTTCTTTTTTATTTAAAATAAATATATTCTCAACATTGCATTAGTAATAAATGTGTAAATATTACTACAAAAAAAAATAATAATAATAAAATAAAAAAAAATAAAATAAAATAAAATAAAAACGATTTTTTAAAAATATATATATATATATATTTTCAGTTTACAATTATTAATCGTAATATAACAATATATAAACTTGGTATCTGAAAGAAGATCCAAATGATCTTGTCGCCAGAACCATATAAAAGATATAATACGTGTATATATAATAAAATAAAATACAATTGATCAAATAACTAATAACAATGTAGAAGAAACAAAAACTGAAAATAATTTTACAAATTATCCAGAGTAAAAAAAAAAGAATTTTACATTTCAAAAATATTTATATATATTGCCAGCAGAAAGAATATAGTTTTTTAATTTAGTTTTAAAAAAGGAAAACGAAATTGACAAATCAAAATTTGGAACAACAATTTTGTTCCATAAATACGGTGTTCTATAGTTTATGCAAAATTGATTAAACTTTGTTTGACAAAAGGGTTCAATTAATAAATCATTATTTCGTAAAGCATATTTGTATACTTGTTATCTGACATTTTAATACCATTATAATTTAATGATTTTATGTAAAAATTTTATGAGTATGTTTTTATATTTACGGCAATGTAGAGCGGTTGTTGATGATAAGACCATTTGGTCTTCCGCAAGTTTTCCGCGTTCTTTTTAGAGTGTTAGAGTGAATTTATTATTTTTTTAAAACCACTTAGTAATATTTTGTTTTTATTTATATATTCACTGTTAACGAATCTTTATTATGTGGTTACGAATTTGTAATATTAAGGAACAAAAAATAAACTTAAAATAAAATAAAAATAAAAAAAATAAAAATAGAACATGTTTGCTTTTTAATTACTGTTTCATTTAAATCACGCAACTTAAGAAGAATGTTTAGTTCTTGCTTCACGGAACTTAAGAAAAATGTTTAATTCTTGCATTTTTTTATGGAATAGGGTTAGATTAGATTAGATTAGATTAAAATTTATTAGAACAGTGATACATGTTCTAAAGGACACGCAGGTCCATAAAATATGAAGGACTCTGACAACGTGCCCTACAATCACATAATACAAATGCTAGTAAATTTAAAATATATATTACAATTATATATAAGACCATAGTTATAAAACACAAAGGTTAGGGTTACAATGGTTTAGGGTTACAATGGGTTAGGGTTACAATGGTTTACTCTTGAACTCTTAAAGAAATTTTCAGGTTTTATGCGAAGTGAGAGGAAGAGTTGGTCATTAACTATCAGTAACTTAAAAATCCATAATATTAGAAAACGGAAAAATTTTTTGACAAATAAATAAATTTAAATCATTAAATTTGTAAAACAATAAAATAAAATTTGTAATGTAAAAATTATTCTACATTTAAGCTTTTATACAATATATCATCATCCAGAATAATCCTTGTTTTAAAATAACCACAGGCAGTTTACCGTTGTTCGAATGTCAGCATTTAAAAAACACAATGTGGGTTTATTTTGTAATAATCTGGGCAATATTTTGATCTCGTAAAACTTGTCTACAAATAATACTTTGGAATGTTGATGAAATTTGAATCAATACTTTCCAAGTGCCAAAACATGATTTAGCTAAAAGAGGCCTGCGTTAAAATTATTCTGTAACAAGTGTCAATCGAAGTATCTTGGTAATAACGTATAATTTAGTAAACGCAAGTGACTCATTGTAAAAACATTTTGAATATTGACCCCTTAATTGTTTTTTTATTTATTAGTAAAAATGTGCAGAATAAATAATTGTAATATTATTCACTTTGCTAATTCAAATAAAAAAAAAAGCTTTGAAAATCATTAAAT